ACTGTATTGCCTGTTTATTAGGTTAGGTTAGGTTAGGTTAGGTTATTTAATTACGGCAAAGCCTCGAGGGCTATCTGCCTAAGGGGAGGGATGCCTTCGTGGAGGACTTTCTAAGGGAAACTGGCTCGTATACATGGGGAAAACCGCGAAAACACCCATGCAGCCAGCCCGTTCGCGGAATTCGAACCTCGGACCGAACTACCAGTGTTCAGCGACTTTACCGCTCGGCCGCTGGTGAGCCTGTATTGCCTGTTGAATCAAACAGCAATCGCCAAAAACGCATAAGTTTTTTGAGAATGTGATAAAGGTCGTTTAATCTACGTCTTCTTGTCTATCAGCTATTTGAAAGTATCCGTTGGTTAGATCTAACACTCTCATATCCCACGTATGTTTCATTCAGCGAATTGTTTTCTCTGCAACAGACAGTGGATATACGAAGTAATTTTTACTTTTATATAATTTACGATAGTCAACTGCAAATCTCCAGTGTCTAAAATCCATTAACAAGACTACAGAACTCGAGTATGCGCTTCATACCACGGTTATAATTTTGTTTTCGAATGTGTTTTTGATGTAATGTGATTTTTTTTTCAAACGCATCGTATCTAACGTATCAAACGCTTTGACCTTCCAAGCAAGAATTTATCTTGTCTCAGTTTGGTGAACTACTACATGATTTAGTCCAGGTTTATCGCTAAATGACGCCGAAAATTCTGTTACGACCACTGTCATTTAGTTCTTATTTCCTTCCGCAAGGGATGTTGGAACTTAGCCTTTGTCATAGACTTAGGCGCTTTACCCATTTCATACATTAACTATCATGTTTACTTTAACGTTAATTTGTGATTTACGTTTTTGCAGGAACTCCGCCCTAAAATAACTTTAATATGTAATCTTTTGACATTCATTTTTACGTCCTTGAACGAAGTAAAAAGGAAGTATTGTAATCGCGAAAAGTTTCAGGCAGCATATTTACACGAAAATATCCATTTTCACCGCTTTCGAATGCAATTTAACGATGTTTTTGCGTGATATCTGTACGTAAGGACATAATAAAACACTCGTTTCCTCCAAAAAAATTATAAAGCTGCTTTAAAATGAATTCTGAAGAGAAATTTTCGTGGCGTACGTATCTCGCATAACTCAAACACGAGTAGCCTCAGAACGTTGAAATTTTTTACATAGGACTACTATAACATGTAGATGTGCACCTCGTATTTTAGTTGCAATCGGCTGCCCCAAACGTATATAAATATATTTATATATATATCCACTCTGTTACCCGGCTCAGTGATCTCAGTTTCTTTACTCCTATATGTTTGTGAATTGTACATTTTTTGCTTTAAAAGTGATTGAATTATGTTGTTCTTATCTTCCGGTTAAGTTTTTTATGCCTTTAGTAAATCTGTATGCAATATTTTTGGATTTATCAAGAATTTTAAAGTTGTTTAAGTGCCGCTAAGCCTAATAATTTTTTTTTTTGATGGAGGCCATTGCTCGTTTACATTTGAAACAACAGAATAGTGGATTTGTTGACAATCTAGAGAAACTTAGCTTCGCAACAACAAAGATAACGCCTTCATTTATTATTGCCTGTTAAATCATGCTTAATCTTTTCTGAAATTTTTTTGAGGAAATAAGTGTTTAAAAATTACTAAGTAAATTTTAAACTTACTTAGTAATTTTTAATACAGATATTTTGAGTTTTTATGAATTTTTGTTTTGTCGCGAAGTGAGAACTGAATTAATTGAATGAGAAATACTCAATCGTCTGTGAAAAACTGTTTCCTTTTTTGTTTTGTTTGCTTAATTTCTTTTATACATCTTTCTAGTTTTATTATAGTATTTGAATAGAACATGTGGCAACGATTAGATAATTCTTTAAATGATATAAATTTTGTGCATTCTGAGTTATAATATGAACGAAATATAATACTGTTAAGTGAACCTATCGCCAGAGTGTCGCTATGGTAAACAAATAGAGTGAATTTTAAAGAATGCATTTATTCTATTGTAGTTTATGTGCTGTCGGCGAAGTAGATTTAATTCAATCCACTAAGTTTAAACGAAATGCAAGAAAAAATGCATATAATTTAATATTCCGTACAAGTCATGTAGTGTACAAATCAGATTTTTAATTTTTAAATCTGACGGTGTTATACTTTGTCCACCTCGTGCAAAAATTATTTCAATATCTTACAGTTCAAATAATCCGAAATGCAGAAATTATATGAATATCTTACAGTTCCGAAAGTATTTGAAAAGAAAATTTAACAGACAACAAACTTCTTTTACTACCACTATCCAACAGAACTCTGGTTTGTACACCGTTCTGCAGCAGGTCTAATGAGGGACATTCAAAGTTCTAAATTACAGTAGTATTCAAAACTATCTTAAAGGAGGACCTTTTTTAAGAACCTGAGACGCCTGACATCCTTTTGTAGTTTAAAGTCTTGGTTTAGCCTTTCTTCTCATCATTATGGTTTTTCCTATCGCCACTAGGGACTTACCAGCGGCCGAGTGGTAAAGTCGTTGAAAACTGATAGTTGGATCCGGAGTTCAAATCTCTTCGAACGGACTGGCAGCATGGGCATTTTCATGGTTTTCTCCATGTACATCCAGTTTCCCTTATAAAGTCATCCGCGAAGGTATCCCACCTTAGGCAGATAGGTCTCGAGTGCTTTGCCATAATCAAATAAACCAAACCTTTTTCACGAATTCTCGGGTTTGCGATTTCCGTTCGCCCTCTTGGCAATTTCTACTACTTCTACATCTTGATGGAAATCTTCAGCATTGCTTGCAAAATCTACATTCGGCGTTTTACCAAAACTAGTTTGTATCTGACGATATTCGACTTGTGTACTTATACTTTGATATTTATTTGCCAATGAAATAAATCATTTAATGTTTTGGGGCTTTGTAATTCTGCAAAATCTAATGCTTTTGGTAGCAATCGCGGGACCACTACCTCCAAAATCTTATTTTCTTGTATATATCCATACAATAACTTCCAAAATTTCACTCTTTCTTTGTACAGATTTCATTAACTTCTCATGCTTCATTTGAAGTCGACTATCTAACTCAGTTTCTAACTCAATCCTATTTTTCACTGGCGAAAATGCTATCAAGAGAGCTTGTTTAAAAGCTTCATATGAACAACTTGGAGCACAAATAGGGTCTAACGACGTTTTCCAAAAACTTATATCACTTCAAAGCTTGACCCTTTAAAACTGAGGAAACAAATTATATCTTCTACGGTTTCAGTACAGCGTACAAAATAAAATGTGCTTCAGGCTCTTTTAAAAACTGCGATACCGACCTTTTTTCTATCAAATATGGGCACCGATAAAAGTTGCCTTATTAAGCTAGATAAACAAAATCATGCCACTGAGGGCATATGACTTTGATGAGCTAGCAGTTAAAATTCCAGATGCGTTCCAGAAAGTGAGGTAAAAGTGTGGAGACCATTGTCCTCCTTTACTGCATGTGTAAAATCTAATGGAAAACGACTAGAGACAAAAGTTATACCGTGAAAGTAAACGTTGGCAGTTAAATCTGTATTACGAAGTTGTGATCTTAAAGCATGTGAGTAGCAAACGGCCTGATCAAATTACCTTCTGGAATGATTTGGTAACTAAGAACTTCTGAAAAATTTGCAGCATCACAGCTAAGTCCGGTTTTGAAGGAACGCTTGTTAAGTTTAGTAAAATAATCCACTATAGGGGCTATTTTCAAGTCATCGTGGATCAGTTTGTTTCTAGTCAGGCAATGTGCATTTACAAATGTTCTCAGAATCTTATTCTGTACTACCTGAAGTTTGTGGAAGTCTGTCTTTGAGGCTGACGCCCAGGCTGCAGATGCTTAGCCTTATAATGGATAGGTAAATCCTTCTCTTTTTGTTGAGTTGTTGAGAGACATTTCAGAGTACAGAGTAATTTCCAAGGAGCACACAAAGTTTGTTGATGATACCACAGGCTTTTCTTATGATGTGCTTAATATGATAAGTCCATGTGAACCTTTGGTTAATAATAATCCGCAGATAACTTATATTATTTGTATGGTTTACAACTTCCTCTGAATAAGTAGAGGTTGTCCAATGCTGTATTCCGAATCTTGCGTCTCCTTACCAATAGAAGCTTGGACTTACAACCATTTCCTCTTCATTTTCTGCACCAATCCTCAATACCTAAAACGAAATCCTGGAGTTTGGAAATGGGATTATTTAGATAGAGCTCAGGGCTACCGACTTATCGTCGGGTTAGCAAGCTAACGTATAGTTACGATCTAGTTTACCTCTGCGGAAATCCGTTACGTAAAACAGGCATACACAGCTCTTCGTAATTTTTCTAAATTTACAATAAAACTGTTTGCCACTCAAATCTTCGTAAATTTTGGAATGAGCGAGCTTCTTGACGAAATGAGTCATAAAAAAAAGATTTAAATTAAATAACTAAAAGATTTAAACATATAAGTTATATTAAGCAATTTAGACATAAAATAATTAATTTAAACAAAATTTATCAGAAATTTCGAATGAAACAGCACAACAAAAGTGTTGTGTAATACGTTTGTACAAAGCTGTTTAAAAAGTAAAAATAGTCAAAATTATGAAACGTGTTTTATTTAATTATTATTCTTTAAGGAAATTGACCCATTCACAGAAGATTTTGATTTGTTTTTCTTACCTAAGCTTGAAGAGAAAAAATCTCTTTCCTTTTCTTAAACTAGTTTCCCTTATGTTGAGTTGACCAGAAAATTTATAGAAAATTCTGTTACTCTTCTTTTAAACTTCAAACAGTTTTACAATTTTTCGCAAATTTTAAGATACGGATATGAAAGTACCTTGACTTTTGTTCTCTGTAGTTATTTAAAAATTAGTATTTTTGCATTATAATCTTGTTGTTAACTATGTTTTGGATTCCTTCCTTATATCTTATATGTATTGTGCAAATGTTAAAAAATCTCACCTTTGCAATATTAGATTATGTTTTTTAATTTAGGCCGATGTGAAGTATGTTAATGGTAAACCTGCTTCAGGAATCAGAACAAAAATAACAGCAACAGTAAATAATGTACCTTTAGATATTGAAAATAACATTGCAATTAGCAATGAAGAAGGCAAAGTGTTTTTTAGACTGCAACCAGACATGCATCATGAAAGTGTTTCCATTAAGGTGAGTTGATTTTCGTTAGACTGCTCATAATTCTGAGCTAAATTTTTATATCACTTATGTACTTATTATTTTTAGTTGGAAACAATTGACCCAAAATACAAAGGCAGCCAAGCTGTTGGTCATCATGTACAATATAAGTTTAATTCAAAAAATGATGCTTTTCTAGCTTTGGAAAGAAACAGGGATCAAACGCTGAAGGTAAGAAATATTCACTTCTCCTGTTTTATCAGTTGCAAATTATGAAATGAATTTATTGTAGAATGTCTACTGTTATAGGCTGTTTGATATCTAATGTTATTGGGCGAAAAGCAGTTAAAATATGCAAAAATAACTTCAATAAAAATTGCAGGTAAATCCATTTTTAATAATTTTTTTTTGTTCCAATGGCGGATTCTAGGGGTTTATAGACAACGGATTCTACTAAGGCCGGTAGTGGTGGTCTCTTTATAATGGAGGCACCGGAATAGATGAACCACGGTTACCTCCTATCAAGGGACGTACAAATTAGTACATCCATGCCTTCTCCAGGATTCGAACCCGGGCCCTGCTGTATGGCAATCAGAGTTACTAACCACTTTCCTGTCTGGGCAGTGCGCTTAATCAAGCTTATTGCAGGAAGGATTGTGAATAAAACTCTACTGATTTCAAGGATGCTCAGTACCTGAATAAATCTTTACCGATCTTCGAGGATTCCACTTCTTCAGGAGAGGAAACATTTTTTTTTTCTCTTGAAGAGGAAGCTATACGTCTAACGAATATTAATTTTTTGCCTAATTTTGAAACCTAATTTAATGAATTTTATTAATTTTACGTTTTATTAACCTGTGGCTATAATATTTTCCATTTTATTAGTATTACGCAATTAATTTTTGTATTTAATGTTTTCCTTTTTAAGCCTGGAGATGTAATCATGAAGATAGTTCATTTTCACCCATTGGAGATCAGTGATATATATTATATGGTAAGGTCTCTTTGATGTCACGTTTGTCTTTATATTTTAGAAAATATTGCCGTAATAACATATAAGATTGATATGCTTAGGTGAAATAATCATTTATAATTTTCAATTGTATTTTATTCCCATTTATGTTGATACATCATACAATCGTAGTATTCACTCGTAGTTCATTTTCAGGTCGTTTCTAAGGGTCAGATTATTGCTATGAACAAATTAAGAAAAGGCAGAGTCATGTATCAAGCAGTGGAATTTCAAATTACGTATGAAATGGTCCCTAGTTTTAGACTGGTAGTATTTGCTCACTACAGAAATGAACTTCTTGCAGACTCACTAAAATTTGATGTTCAAAGTGTATGCCATCCTGATGCTGAAGTAATTTATAATTTTCTTAATTTTAATCTTTGATAACTCAGATATAATTTTATATATTTGTAATATATTTGATTTGTAGTTTTAGAAAAAATTGATTGCTATATAATACAATTAAAATTTTAGCACGAAAGATCAGTTTATAATATATATGTAATAATACCAAGGAAAAGACCGAGCAATGTTGATGGGTACGGCAGATCCATACTGAAGAGGAAGAACTTCGATTGCGTTCTATGCTAATATGTTGACTAGGTAATATCTAAGAAACTTGGCAGTCGAGACAGTTTTAATTCTATTTTTTTATCTACAGTTGACATTTTGTGGCCACAATTACAAGGCACATTCGTGCCTATTCACAGAACGCTTACATTTTTGATATTATTGCGATAGAAAGCAAGACCAGGGAAATTACATCCTAGCAGGGTATAGAGCGAAGCTGACGTGCGTAGGTATCCTATATGGAAGCACACAAAGAGAAAAGTTTTGGTCTGAGTTAAAAGTTTCAGTTCCCAATTACTACGTCATCAGCACAGCACAGGCCATGCAAAATGACGCAATGAAAATGCGGGTTACTATTTTTAGAATAGAGAATGGAATTTAAGCTGCTAATTTAATCGTTTTACATATTTTTTATATTTCTAACACATCATGTGTAAGAAAAATAAAGAATATGTAAAAGGTTCATTCGCATATCCCAACATATGGTATTTGTCATTGAAACTTAGCGTTTGCTACATGCCACCTTCATGGAGTAGTGATTTCATTGGCCAGTGGAGTAGATAATTTAACAGAGAATTGAGTTGGAGGAAAAAGCCGATGGCAATTATCTCTGACCTGTTACTTCATCCTAAAAATTAATTACTGAAATCAGCTTTAACTTAAAAAAGAAGATTAATTCTTAAAACTGTGACAGCAGAGCAACAGTTGCTTTGAAACCAAATTAATTAATTTCGATATAACAAGTAGAATAAGACTGAGAGGATTAACTCTAACATATGCAAGGTAATAAAATCAGTATCAAATCTTGAACTGATTAATAATTAAATAATAATCAGAAAAGCTTCTAACGCAACTCAAACACTATGTAGAAAATTATATAAACATATAAATTGGCATTTAATTTCCTCAGTGACTTTTCTGTCTTTTTATTTCGATAATATATTGATTGCATTTATAGTATATCTTATTTTAGGATGACGTAAGAGCAAATTATAACCTGATGACTAATTAAAATTTTAAAAATATATATTTTATTGTACATTATATAGTTACTTTTAATGCCCTCTAATTCATAATTTTAAATTTGTTTCATTTAATTTCATTTAACATTTTTTCCAATTTTTCTTCTGAATTATTTTAAGAATTGATAATCACCCAGGTATAATTCAGGAACTTCGCTATGTTGTAAATTCGTTGGCTGCTCCGAAAAAAGGAAACACTAAAGAATTTGTTATAATTTTGTTAAATAAAATTATAAGAAGAATGACTCTTGTACGACAAATTCACCAGGATATTTAATTTTAAATTTGCTATTTTTGATGTCATTTTTAACTTTTCTTGCGGGCAGGTTAATAAAATTGGAATAATTCGAGGAAAGAAGTTTATATGAAGTGCGGTAAAAAATGTGTAGAATTTAATTGGCCATATAAGGAAGTCATGTGCTGTCACTTTGCCCCTTTTCTTATATAATTACTATATCTTGATTACAACTCTACAGATATATGCATATATAGTGTATATATATAATAAAACTGCGGTTCGATGACACGACATGAATGATGTGATTGTGAATGCGGCACAAAATTGCATTAAAATTTTCGGTGAAACAGGATTTTTCCCATGATTCACTGTGAACATAGCCTAACAATCTCGTGTAGATTTCTGCATAATGAGAACTGGCCAAAGAATGTAATGACAGAACAATTCCGGAAGCACTGAAACTAGAACACTAAACGTAGAAATACTAATTGCGTAGAAATATTAATTGCGTAGATATTTGATGCTTAGAGCGTCCATCCATTTTGAAGAATAAGCAGTCGAGCCGTATTAAATTCCTTCTTTTTATTTAAATTCTCATTTTGCGGCCACAATTCACTAGGTACTCTACTCGTGCCTATAAAAGAACATTTACAATTTTGATATTATTGCTATAGAAACGAATATAGCAGCATATACATGATTGCAGAGAGGCGTCTGACCAAGACGAAAGGACAAGCAAAAGTGACACATCAGTTCATAGAAAGGAGGGAGTCAGAAGTTTTAGTTTTAGTTTACAATTTGGTAATTGGACAAGAGGCGCATCTGCATTAAGGGTTACGTAAGATCGCATGATTAATTTGAATGACGCAGTTTAGACTTACAGCACTATTTTTAAGACAGAGCGATGAAGTTTCCAAATGAAATAAAAAATAAAAGAGTTTAAGTGAATTAAATTTAGAAGTTTGCTTTCATATTTTTTATCTTACACACAAACTCACACACACACACACACATATATATATATATATGATGCGAATGATAAGTTTTATATAATAAACTTGGCACTCTACTCGTGCATAAATAATGTGTAATGAGCATAAATAATGTTTCATGTTCTGCGCAACATCTAGGCTATCAGTGTTCAAGGATGGTTTTTAATTAATTTCATTGTATATACACACAAATATATTATATAGGTATATAATATACTATATATTTAGTTATATGTAATTTAATTATATGTGTATATAAGGTATAAATAAATGAAGGGAAATTATTAACAAATTAAATTAACTTTTAAAGAATTTCTAACTTAATTGGCAATAGCCTTTTAAATTCTTAATTTTAATAAATACAAATAATTTAATAAAGTACATCCCATCTTCAAGAATGCGTGATGCACCATTTAGCGTCATCATTTCTCTGCGTGGAAAAACCTCTTTCCCAATCGCTATCTACAAAATATTTCTGAGTGTAAATACTCCAGAAGCATTTTGTTACGAATTTTGTATTCAAATAGGTAATTTTAGTAGAATTATAATTAAAACTATTGCATTTCCCGGTGCACTACAGCGTGGCACAAACTTTAAAAGAAAGCTATGCTTGAAAAGTAAGAATACAAGGGCACGTGCATTTAACATTGAGTAAATGGACATCTCGGTAATTTGTATTTAAATTGAATAACTGTAATTGACCACTGTGTTAGCTGTAACCGTAATTCCACACTGTTTTTGCTTTCCAGAAGTCTGGAGAAGCAGAAATTACTAGAAATACCTCTCAGAGTCGGTTGAAAACTATTAAGGCCGAAGAGAGAGCACCTGCTCTTAGTTGCTTAGTTACTGTTGTTCCGAGTAAACTGAAATATCCGAATTAGCTTTGCACTGCGTTGCGATTTAACGTTTTTAGTAGCTTAAAGTATAACTATTGATTATACTTTGTGATATTGTGAACAAATGTACGAATAACTATGAGGAATTTCCAGCGTTCTGATATATTTCATTCACAAGAATAAATTTTAAATTTAGTAACCTTTTATCTGACTTGTGCATTCAATATATTACAAACCTGTATGCACACAACACTTTTTGGTGTCAGGAGTGGGGTTGAATGCCCGTAACAAGAGCGGTTTTGGAGCAGTTAAGGCAGCTGGTAGCAGCCTCTGTTGCTTTAAACGAGGAGATGAAAGCTTGCCAAGATTCCATTCAAGAAGTGATGAAATCTGTTAAAGCAGAAATGAGAGCCTGCCAAGAAGAGATTAAACTGGCTAAGAATCCATTAAAGAAAAATGAATGTGGTCCAAGAACAGATGAAAGCTGGCCAAGATTCTGCTAAAATAGTGATGAAAGCTCCGAAAGAAGAAATGTGAGCAGGCAAGAGGAAATGAAAAGAGAAATGACCTGCATAATAGAAAACAAATTTAAGGTTATTAAACGCAGAATAGAGTTTCTGCCGTCCAGCAACAAACCGAACAACAAATTGATGACAGGGTTTCCGAGGTCGCCAAAGAAGTTGATACCTTGAAGCAATTCGTACCGACGGCAGTGAGCAATACTAATCGTTTGAAAGTTTTACCCATGACTGCTCGTCCCTCTCTGAAGCTATCCACGTAGGATGGGAACAACTCCTCTCATAAGACATAATTCTCTATAGTCGCGGATGTGAATGGATGGGATTCCCAAGCTTAGACCTGTTATCTCGCCGCTTCTCTGCGAGCAGACACGGCGGATGTTCCTAAAACTCTTCCAGAAAACCAAAGAACTCTATCCGGTGCGTTGGAGCTGCACTTTGGCGAGAAGTGCTTAAAAGATTACAGCAAGACACAATTAAAATCCCGTCGAACAGGAGCCAACGGGAACGCTCCAGGAATTTGCCACGGATGTTGAAAAGTTGTCTCCTCTTGCCTCTTCGGAATACCCGACAGAAACAAGAGAAATTTTGTCCCTGCAGTGCTTCATTGACGGCATCCGCGATATTGAAATACAGAAAGTTCACCCAATGGCGGATGTCAAAGTTTTGAAAAGCGCTTTAGTGTACGCGACGCAATTCGAAGCAGCCTACCAAGCAACTCGTAGAGACCGCCACGCAATCAGAGCTGCCCAACTTCAATAGCCTCAAGTGACTGCTCGTCTAAAAGATTTAATAAGACAAGTCAATGCTTTGAGACGGAATAGGAGTGACAAGAAACCGGCAGTTAAGTCCTAGAGCTGCGGTGCTCAAGGCCACGCAGGAAAGAGCTGCAGAACACCCTAGGGCATGGAAGGTAAGACCGCCCATAGGAAGAGGAAGGAGAGAAACTAATTAGTGGTCATCTCGCTGGGGGGGGAGGCTGTCAGCTAATGAGAATACCCATTTTTAGGAGCTTCTGATTTCTGCAGTGACTGGCGGCAGTAATGGAGGATTTCCTTATCAGCAGTAATGGATTATCAACGGATTTCCTTCCAATATAACCATCGATATAGTAGCCAATGTTACCATTATTCCAAAAGATTAGCCTCAACAATTGAAAGGTAAACTCATCTGAA